ATAAAAAAATATACTTACAATTAACCTTACAAAGAGAAGGGTAAAATCTGCATTTCAGTATCTATCATTTTCTATTACTAAGTATATTCCCTGCATACCATCTAGTTTAGTGCAAATTAAACTAAAATGCTTTCCTTTCCTTGATTTGCCCTATTGCATTTGTCGTTTGAACACACCTTAAGAGTAGCAAAGTGGTGCTTAAATAAAAGTATTTACCATATTTTGGGTAATTAGTCCCTGACTGGTATCAGCCGCCCCATTCCCGTCTCAAAGGTAAACCTAATGGAGAAAAGGGAAGAAGAGAGAAAAGATAGATAGAATTTTGTTTTGTTTTTGTAATGATGTTTTTGTACGGTGTTAATTTTGCGTGTTTTTTTGTCAAAAAGTAAAAATAATTTTTTCGCCGAAAAATGCATAGTTATGATTAGAAGAAAGAGATAATAGAGAAAAGTATAGAGCATTATATGTAGAAGAAGAGTGGCAAGAGCGTGAGAGAATTAACTCAAAACTGCAACAAATTTGAATTACAATTTAACTACAAAGTAGAATAATAACTTTTCATTTTCAACGTACAGCAGATAGATATGACAGCCCAATGGTGAAATTTAAGCCGAAAGTCACATGATTGGTGTATTTTATCGCAACCACTTGAATATAATATTTAAATATTATGATTATTATTATTAAAAAAAAAAAAACATATGGATGTTTATGAGGTAAATGGTATGAGGAGGTATGTTGACTGTACAGTAGATTATGATTATATAATATATAAAATGGTAACCCCTTTGCAATGAATGTTATGAAAATTAAGTATATATATTTTACGAGTAACGGTAATAAATAATTATTTAGAATTACTAAAACTTTAAACATTGTTATATACAATTTAATATATTGCTATAATGTTTAATTGTTTACACAACTTTTGGTTAATTAATATACATATTTTAGTATGCGTCTATGTACTAATGTATATTGAATTTTTCAGAATATTTCATTTTGTAGTATTTTATGTATTGTTATATATTTATGTACATGTTCTATGCGACGTATTCTTTATTAATAATATGTATCTAAAGCTACTCAACTTTTATGAATTAATAGAAGACAATGTTTTCGAAACTTAAAATATTAAGGTTATATTTCCGAAAAATACTTTATAAATAGTTGAAAATTAAACATTTTCCTTTATGACCCCAAAATATACATTTTTGTTTACAACAGTACTACCATAGGCTATTATATATGGCAAAAATTTTCGATTACAAAAGTAAGTAATCTGTCCTTCAACATCGAAATATTTGCCTTCGAAAATAGGTTTTTAGAAATTTCTTTACTTATACCTTCTACAGGGCAAGTGATCATTAGGTTAAAGTATAATGCTTTACATATTTATGTATTTTACTATAAAATAATTTTAGTAGGTATTTGAAGAGAAAACCCACATATCTTATTCATGGGCGAGCAACTCTTAATGCCTTCATCATGATAATGATCTAAGTCAAACTGCATCGGCTCTTCGCGAATTTTGCGAAAAAGTCGACTCATATTGTTCCGCAACCCTCGTATTGGCTTGATTTACTTCGTGCCACTTCTGGCTAATCAGCAATTTACAAGGGCTAGTTTGGGGACAGCATTTGGACTTGATTGAGGAGATAAAAACCAAATCGAAAAAGGAAGACTATAGGAAAAATTACTATTCTGACTTACTGTTTCGAAATCTCAAACAAGCGTTGGCAAAAATGCATATTAATGGACGAGAATTATTTTATAATGAATATTGTGAAAAAGTGACCTTTAATAAGTCTGATGTTGACTTGATCCTTGAAGAAAATGCTTTTATTTTACAATGGGTGTTAAAGGCAGTGGACTATCGGTTCCCATGCGGCATATGTAGCTTTACTCATAATTTCCAAACTTCTATTTGAAAGTCGAATTTCAAAAGACACTTATTCCTTGGAAATTTTTGACTCTTCTTTAAAGAATTCTAGAAACAACCCTTTAAAATTTTAAAAACATTTAAGCATTGCTTCGGTTCTATAACACTCCAAGTTAAAATGTCTCATTCCAAATAAATTCTTATTCTTTGAGAAATGTATACTATTTGAGGTAGCATATGTGGGCTCAATATTGAACACAGTAAATACCGACGTTCAACGACGTATTTGTTAAAGTTAAGTCAAATGATTCCGTAGATAGTCTATAGATTATTGCTGAGATATTTAGAGGTACTTTTTTCAGTAGCCTCTTTATGATAGCTCCCTCGTGAGTCGTGTCATGCTGTCATGTTATTTTTACATAGAAATTCTTATGTCTGAACAATGTTTACAATCGTTCGACGAAAATTCACATTCTGCAAAGAATGTATGTGGCGGCGCGCATCGCTCAACTTATGGTCAACATAATCGGCCTATTGAGCGTACGATTCCCAACACCGTCACCCATCTTTAGACCCAGCATTCATTATTGGATAATATTCGACCGAATACATCGCGAATACAGACTGTTGAGAGTTGATTCGGCGACGTTCGCAGCAATTCGGTTTGACGTATGGGTCGACTTGGCGCATTTTACGTCGAGATTTTAAATTGAATTCAAAAAAGTAGTGCTCATATGACATTAAGTATCATGTAATTTCTATATACATGTAAAATCTTTATGATTAACTTGGAGTTAGTGGTTAGTATTTACTACCAAATACCGAAAAACTTAGAGAGTTGGCGCTACATGGCCGTATGAATAATGAAATTATATTTATATATAAAACTTCATCTAGCTATAAGAAAGCTGCTTATCCCTTTTCTTCAATTAAGCATCAAACGTGACTAAAATCCGATTTAAATATTTTTGTGTTATTATTTTCTATTAAGTAGCTTATTTACATTCTGCTTTTTTTTTATGCTGCGGACATTTTCAGATTATTTGTAGAGCGAATGCGTATCAGTGAATTATATAAATACATATAAATATATATGTTGCTTTTGCAATAAATATTTACAATGTAATAACTGCATAAATCCCATATTCGAAATCACTCAATTTTATGCAATTTATTTGCTTTGCAGCATGACTTATGCTCTAACTAATACAATTAACAGAAAATATCTACAAATTGTCAGTGTTGAAGCGTGCAGTTAAGATTAGGCTTTAAGCAAATAAAGACTCATAGCACTATATATACATACATACAATATATTTACATAAATACATGAAACATTGAAAGCCGATGCTATTTACTTATTGTGATTGTATTAGTTGCTTGCTAACATTGTTAAGTTATATAATATAGACAAACAAAGCAGCATTCATACGCATATCTAAATTAATACATACATATAAATATTTACATAGATTTATACATATATTAGTAGACTACTTAGGAAAGTTTACGCAGTTTTTTTTTTTGTTTTTTGCTTTTTTGTTTTGTTTTTAATACTGCTTTTTTTTAAAGGTTTCGCTAAACATTTGAAAAATACACCAATCATTGAAGACTGAGAAAGTGAGCAAGCGTACGTACAAGTTCACCTACTAAACATTTAAATCAATTCCAAAATAAATTTAAATTAAATAAAAAAATTTTTTTCTCTTTTTATTATACCAAAAAAGTTACCGTGAAACATCAATAGTTAAGTTACATGAATGGCATCATTGCATTTGGTAAGCACGAATGCACAACCTACCTTCTTAACGCTGCGAGTTGTCGAAAAGCCATCGCCACGACGATAATTATCACCCTGAGTAGTGGAGAGGAGAAGAATTAATTAAATAACGGTGTTTATTGCATGTATTAGTTCAGATTAGTTTGACTTAGAAAAGTTTTTATACTAGGGTGGACTATAAATTATTTTAAAAAGACTTTGTAATATTTTTTTAAATGTTTTGGGTATTTAACTGCTCAGTCTAAATTTAAAAGAATTATTATACTAGGGTGGACACTAAATTATGTTAAAAAGTATTTTTAATATTTTCTTTTGTGTATACTTTACTGCTCAATCTAAATTTTTTTTATACTAGGGTGGACCTAAAAAAATAATGATTGTTTGTTTTCGGGGCTAAACTGCCTACTATTGAAGAATATAAATTGTAGGTGTATGTATGGTAAGTTAATTTATTTGATTTTTAAACTAGGGTGATCCTTAAAAGCTCTGACGAATAATATTTAATAATTTATTTTCTGTGTCTGAACTGCTCAATCTTAAACTAGTTAAATTTTAAGTTTAGCATAGTTGAAAATGTGTATATTAGGGTGGAACTTAAATTATCTTAAAAAGAATTTTTAATGTTTTGTTTTGGGTATATTATAGTGCTCAATTAAAATTTGTTTAATTTTACATTTTAGTAAGTTGATCTGTAAATAGATTTATACTAGGGTGAACCTAAAAAATCTAATGGTTAATTGTTTTTTAGAACTAAACAGCTAACTATTGAAGTAGTGAAACTTTTGGCGTATGTATGGTAAGTTGATATTGGATATTTATAAACTAGGGTGGACCTTAAAAGACCTGACGATTAATATTCAATAATTTATTTTTTGTGCACGAACTGCTTATTCTTAAATAAGTTAATTTTTAAATTATATTAATTGATTTATGAGTATATTTATACTAGGGTGAGCCTTAAAAAACGTAATAATAATAACTTGATACTTTTTTTCGATTCAATTTCCTCAATCTGGTTTAAATTAAGTTTTAGGCGAAGATACGTTTATTTATACTAGAGTGGGCCTTAAATTATCTAAGTAGGTATTTTTAATATTTTTGTTTTTGATTCACACTGCTGAACCTAAGATACTAAAACTTTAGGCTTTAAGCTGACTTGTGGGTGTATTTAAACTAGGGTGGACGTAAAAAACTAACGATTAATTATTTTGGAATCTAAAGTCTTTATTCCGCATAAGTTAAAGTTAAAGATTGATCTGTTGGTTTATCATTATATTAATACTAGGGCGAACCTTAAAAGAACTAAATAATAATTTGCAATATTTATTTTTTGAATCTCCACCGCACAATCTAAGATAATAAATTTAATCCTTAGATCATTGATTTAAAAATATATTTGTATTAGGGTGGATCTAAAAGTTTTAGCGAATAATTTATTTGAAGTCTAAGCTGCTCAATCTAAATTAGCTTACTTGTTGACTTAAACAAGTTTATTACATAGAAAAATTTTAGACTCGGCTATGTTGATTTATGAGTATATGTATGCTAGGGTGAACCTATTCAAAAAAAAAAAATTATAATAATTTTTTATAGTCTACATTTCCAAATCTTAGTTGACTTGTATGTTAATATCGGTTAGTTTACCAGTATTAATACACTAAGGTGGACCTAATGTTACCTAAAATGTTTTAACTAAAAGTATTTCTAAATTTCCATGGTTCAATCACTTTTTTAGATATTATATAAAAGTTAATATACGAGTATATATGTACTAGGGTGGGTCTAAACAAATCAATAAGTAATTTTTTTGTCTAAAGTGGTAGCCTATGACTTGAGGTGACAACTTTAGCCTGAAATTTTGGCTTATTTAAAGATTTCATGAATTGTTGATTATTGAATATAGCTGGCGAAGGCGGTATAAGGTATCGAATAAAAGAATAGTGTGATTTTTTCTATTGGATGAAAATTTAGGCTAACACTTTCCTTACGCTTTAAATGCGTATTTCTGCTGTTGTATTTTATAAAATCGGTTTTAATATTTTTATTGCTATATGAAGGATCGTCCTAATATGGAGAAGAACAGTGTTGGAGGTTAAAATTATTGAGATTTTTCTGGGTGTATTTAAGGTGTACCATAAAATTAAAAAAAAAATGTACATTAAATTAAGAATTTTATTGAAAGAGTCGTAGGTACTGAGTTCCTACAATTGTCAGTGATTTAAGAAAAGGCACAACAACCCTGCGTGCACACTTGTCTGCCTTTTCAGCGTCTAAATTTATAAATAGCACGTTTTAAGCCACCTTTAAGACGGAATACTGAGTGCTAGTTAGACCTCGGATTTTTTTTCAATAAAATTTACACAATGCTTTCTTTTACCGTGCACAATTTTATGTCCTCCACTGTATTTTTTTTTTAATTTTTTCTATTTTATTAAAATTATTTTCTATTCAATTCTATTAAAATAAAAATTCTGTTTTAAAACATTTATCTGGACTCATACTTACCATCACCTGATGCGATCGCAGTGTGCCGAAATTGTCCCGACCGCGATATGTCTGTTGTGTATTATAACCATCGGGCTGGAATTGGAAGAGCGTTTCGGAGTTGGGACCATGATGATGCATGGGCTTGCGTAGCGTACTCTTTGGTGAATGTTGCATTTTATTTTGTGGTGGTGGCTGTGGCAAGAGCACCGGTTCGGCGTATGTCACCTCCTCCACTTGAGGTAGAAGCTTGGGCTCGGCTTGTATGCTAAGCGAACAGAGAATTGAAGCGGTGAGTAAAAGTTTGTGGCAAATTTAGGTGTGTAAGAAAAAAGCAAAAGCAGGTTTTTGCTGAAAAATTGTTTGATAACTTGGTATACCCATATACTAATATGCATGTAATACAAACATATTAATTATACGGTATTAGTAACACTTACCGATTGACATTTTGACGCTGCTCAAAGTACTCATACTCCGTATCGGGATATGGTAAATTGTCGTCCTCATCCTTGTGACAGCGTCGGCCACAGAAGTAGCCTGTAAAGAAGCCCACTAGTAGGGAGAAAATTGAACCTGCTAAGACGGCCATAACGAGCGTTTCAACGGTATACTGCGCATTGATAATATCTGCTGAAATTTGTGGACCTTGTTTAGTAGTTAAATATGACGAAATGCATTGCGAGGTAATATAGTTTTTTATAGGCGTATTTTTATAAAT